CAATAATAAGTTTAGTTATTGTTTGTTAGTTACTACTCACAATTTAAAATATCACTTTTCAACCAACTTTAAAAGAGTAGAAGATTTGTTTTTTTTTTATCAGAAATGATTATACAGATCGGTCTGATAAATAATTTATCATAATCTTTTTAATAATTTAGTTTTTAAATGAAAAGACCTGGTGTTGTCATTATTGAAATTTTTTTTATGTGGAACATAATCTTAATTTATATTTTTTTATTCAACTAGAAATAAAAAAAAATGTGAAGTAGTATTTTTGTCAAATCTATAAATAATTTAGCATAAATTTCGCTTCGAAACTTAAAGTCTGAATCCAACTATCCTGCAAGTAGGCTGTTTTGAATCTATTTTGGGTATAATATTAAGTATATAGTAGTTTTTGCCCTAAGAGAAAATTACATACAGTTGCGATATCTATACAGAACTGTACTACAATACATATAAAGATAATATACGTTCCAAGGTAAGCAACGAACAGACAATTTTATTGTGTTCAAAAAATAATTAATAAACAACCTGTTAGAAATAAACGTAGCCCAGTAGAGGACTACCAATAATTTTTTTTCCAAAATAAGCTAACTGCTTTAGTAAAATTAGAACTTTGATCACCGATTGAACGATATTAATATCAAAATACGCCTACTTAATGGATTTATATGGATTTAATAATTCACAAGTTATAAAATGTGTTATTCTCTAAAGCCCACCAAACAAGGTCGCAGTTACCGCAACTGTCTTTTACACACATCTTTACTTGGCAACGCTCTAGTTAACCATATGTAATTGCGAAGACCCAACAAGACACTGTGCTGAGAAAACATAAATAAACATGACTCATTTCGCTGTATGCAATTAATTTGTATATGTGTATATATATCTGTCTATCTATCTTCACGCCAAGGTCACTTGTACATTTTTGCTGGAGTTCGTAAACTTCGGAGTTTCTTGACTCCTCTATCAGACACTGATCATTTTAAGCCAATAATTATGACCTTCTTTGTGCCTACTTTCCTCTATCTTTTAAACACTATACAATAATCCGTTCATCAAAAATGTTTTCCACATGCTAGATCAGTTATAGCTTAACCTTCTCTGATTTATTTAAATATCGATCATTATATTCCACACTAAACTTTGAAGCTTTTTACATCGCTGAGGCACACACGTGCAGATATATTTATAACCTATATTTTATATACCAAAATTATTTGTAGTACTTATTGTTGCCCGTCTTTAAACTGTAATTTGATATGTGTGCTTTAGATACAAATAGTTTTTATCTAACTCTAATTATTGTACACAATGATAGTATATAAAAATATGACACAGATATGTAAATGTACAAAGGCGAACTTAACTCTAAAAGAACTCTCTTCCAGCAAACTCAAAGTGGAAAAGAGCAACAATCTCAGCAGATAAAGCGGTGTAAATAATGTGACAATTTTCAAACAAAAAAGAAGTAAGCTTAAACTTATACATAACTAATTATGTATCTATATTTACGTTTAGTAAAATTTCATATTAAAAGTATTAATAAGTTTAAAAAGATTAACTGCAATCTGGAACCATTTTAAAAAAGATCATCGATCATCAACCTGATGCATATGCATTGATTTTATGAAATAGGATAACGACACGGCATTTTTGTATATCTTATGAGTGTCATATCCGTCATGACATACGATGTGGTAGCGTATTTTAAATGTCATGGAAAATGTCCGGTTTTGTTCATTTCTCGAGATACTTTTAAAGTTAAAATTTAATACGTCTATAATCATTAATTAGATTATAAACGTCCTTATTGTACCGAAAAATTATTTGTACCTAGAGAAGCATCTATAAAAACACATACATACAATACATTCTTAAAATACATAATTAAATTGATTATATCATTAATATTATAATTTGTAAAAAATATGTATTTCAGTTCCAACTTTAAAATTTAAATATTTTTGTTTTATTTTTCCGATAATTCGAATGACTAATATTTCTATAGCAAACCTAATTGCAATACATTTGGAATACTTACATAATCTAATTTCTAACTAAACCATTTAAATGAAAATATCCATAGCATCAATTAAATATAATATTTTATATTAAGATCTGTAGTCGGTACAGGATCATGAGTTGATATTGGCCTTTAACTTAATACATATTAATATGTATCGTAAAGAGCAAAATAAGCATATTGTTACAAAATTTTAACCTTGCACAGATTTATAATTTTATAGAAAACGTTCCATTAATTAGCATTTACTGGTTTTAATGGTATTTTAGTTTGTTAAAATTTTATCGAAATTAAGTCGGCATTATATACTAATTTATTACAATATGATTACATAATAGTAAATTTTTGTTATATATAACAGTGTCATATACAATTCTGATGAGTTTGAGAATTAATCTACTCAATATATGTTTCAATAGAATTTAGTAAAAATGGGAACAAACGAATATGTATCCCAACAATAATATAGTCGGGTAACGTTGATAGTAGTAGCACAAGTCTATATTATGTTATAAAGAGAAAATACCTGACTGAAAGAGTTATCAACGCACAGCTGAAACTACTGAATTACATTGGGTTCAATAGAAAAAAATAATTTTTCGAAAATTGATCCCTAAGAGTATAAATATAAGTCTAGAATTTTTTTAACCGATTGATACTTGAAATTTACTATAAATACACTTAAATAATAATTAAAGAAAAACGTACTTTCATCATTTTTAAAATTTGTGTTCCTAAGTGTGTAACAGAGGGATGAAATATAGAGAAATGTCTTGACTAACTCATCAACGCACAGCCGAAACTAATAAAACTAGAAATACCAAATTTAAATAGTAAATTGCTTTTATTACCTACATAAGTAATGAGAAAGAACTTGTCAAAATTTGGCCAGTAATGGTGTAAAATAGGTGAGGACTTTTGTATCAGAAAGTATATTTTTAATCGATTTACTTGATTAATTATTACAGTTTTCGTATGAAATGACACAGATTAGTTATATATAAAAACAAATTTTACACATTGATATACGTGTAATCATATTGTAATATTTTGAATTATTTCATCTTAATTTAGAGTTTCTGAGATAATTTCGACTAACAAAATTTATTTGGCTTTTCTTTAAGTTGTAATGAAACCATAATATCTAGATTATATATCCAAACGTTTATTGATTTGACGATAACTCTATACATATATTGGTGAACATAAATTGTAAACACGTCACTTGCTAAGCTCAAATGTTATTTCAACATTTATTAAAAAAATTTGAATTTTTGCAATAGTTATGAAATTGCATCAATTAAAAAAATATCAAGGACTAGTACATAATAAGTTAAATACGCGCCGTAATGTACTTTGAATGCACGATCCTTCTTTAATTCAGGTTGCGCATTGCTTGTAAAATAAAAATACAGCTGTCTTGATTACATAAATCATGCCAAAACGAGCAGTTGACCATCAATTACCACTTAAAACAAACAAAAATGATGGTACAAACTACATACAATTATAAGCCCATTATAAAACAGCGAATAAAGTAATAACATTTAACATATAAATCTTTTTTAAAAAGTTACCTAGTCTAATATAATAAAAAAGAAAGCCTTTCATTTTTTTTATATTGGATAAACACAAAAGCAACAATATTAGCGAGTAATATGGGCATTATTTTATTTAAAAAATACGTGCTAAGCAATAGAGCACACTATTTAAAGATGGCGACAATAACTGACTAGTTGTAAACAGTTAATTGCCTTAACGGAAATCCTACTTTTATAAATAAACCTAATACTCGAAATTGGGGGAAAGGTATTGGTAGTAATGGGGTCAAATAGTCCCATTACATGCAATATACCCTAATAGGTCAACCTCCACGTGATTTCCCCTGGAAACCATCGTGTTTAATTCCAGTTGATTTTGTCAGGATGGGCTAACTGACCTACTTTCATCCTCATCTGTCATGTCTCACTGATGCCCCGCCAATTTATACCGATAGCGCAGGCGGGGTTACCATATCATTATCACCCATTAAAAAAATCGAATTATAGTCTAGTTGAAAGCCTGTGCTAGAAATTGACATTATAGAAAATCCCTCTAAAACTGGAAAATAAGTATTACTAAGCTGACGATCTCCTTGATATTAAGTATCATTGCATGCAATTATATGTACAGAATAAGCGTTACGCATAAGTATATGACTTTAATTAGTTCGAGTGGACTTAGTAACTCCATCCAGACTAAGATCAAGTCAGATATCTCTTGTATCATAAACTAAAAAGAAGATTTGTTATTATGTCAATGACTTAACGTATTTAAACATAATATAATAACTAAATTTTTATTACTTATTTCTTCTTTTACGACATAGATACCTTTAGAACGTTGAGTAAATTATGCTGGTATTTAATCTCAAACTAGTAGTCCCAGATTCAATATCAATGTCATCCGCTAAAGAAGACTGTCATGAAAATTTTTATCTATGTTTATCGCCTTAAGAATTATGCTCTATTACACCAATATTTATAACAGCAAACTGATGGAAGAAGAGAGAGACATTTCTAAATTTTTATAAGTTAACATAATATATGTTAACTTGTCATGTTTTCTTTAGTTGATACATCTATATTATGTTTAAGTTACTGATATCATAAAACGTTGAAATTATCGTTTCCTGATTGTAGCTTTGGCACACGGTGTAGTCACGTCTTAGACTAGCATATGTTAAAAGAAAGGAACCATCAACGTTTACGCAGACTTACTTGTAAATACTTTGGTCAACTACTGGATTCAAAATTGATTTGCTTTCCTTGCGTCTATTGACTTGATACATATATTAATTTCACCTTGAACCATGCATAACACTGAATAATTTTACGTAATTGCTGTATTATTATCAAACTACCGTATTCTTTCTAGCGTAGACAGAGCACACGCGTCGCATCTTGCTTAACTAATATAAAAGTCGATAGCTTCGCTCTTCGGCAACAGTTGTGTATAGTCGGTGAGACGAAGCAAACCTAATTCAAACACAAAATGATCGCTAAAGTAAGTGTAATTCGTGATATAATCTCCCGTTGCGAAATTAAGTGAAAGGATTTGTTGAAACGTCGCCATAAGTGATTTGGAGCAACCTCAAGGATTCATTGTTTCTCGACAGTCGTGTTTGATACATTTCTTAGCTCCAATTTCAAATTCTTTTGAAGTCTATATACATATGTATTAACACATTTCTATATAAATAAATTAGAGGTTAAAAGTCCACCCTCATTACTTGTTGCATCAAATCACGTACACAACCTAATTTTGACTTCTTTCATTCTTATACTTTTCCAAATTCAAGTTATAATTTTATTATTGCTTTTTCATTTGCACTAATAATTGATTGGCATTTTTCTCTGTATATGTAATTTTAAATTGCAAATAATAGTCCTAATGTAAAAGTACTCATTTACATTGTAAGAAATAGTTTGCAATCTAATTCAAACTGTTCAGACATTTATCCACTATTAATTTCAATTTTATCTTGACGTTAATTATTACTAGTTAATAATCATGTCTATCCTATTATATACATGACTTCTTTTTATCACTTATTTTTTTTTCTAAATATATATACTATATAGTTAATCTAAATCTTGCTTCTGAAAAACAATAACTGGAAAATGTAATAGAAATTATTAGCAGTATGTTTCCGTTATTTCTAAACGTCAACTCCACAAAACTGCCGTAAACTTTCTACTTCCATATTTATAAATGTTATCCAAAAGATAATATTATAAAAATACATTTAAAGATTGTGCCCCAAAACAGACAAAATTAGTTATTTTGATTTAAAAACTAAACTACTAAACCGATTTTGATAAAATTTCTATGAGACCAATCTGAAAATATATCCTTTTAGTTAAAAAAGAATCTTTCAAATCAATTTAGAACTGACGAAATGATGAGGTAGCTTAAAAAACTAACATAAAAAAAATACAAACGAATTGAAAAACTTCTTCTTTTTAAAGTCGATTGAAAACAAGACTTGCTCTTGAGAAAAAGAATAATTCACACATAATATTATCACTATTACATGTTTTATTAATAGTAGTTACTAGAGGGGCCCAATTGAATGATAATGGAAGGGAGCGATGACATAGGTGAGGATAAGAACAACACAGTTCGCCCATCATGACGAATTTAGAATTAATTACACGAAGGAATCGGGTAGACATCGACCAGACTGTACCTTATATTACCAGCAATGAAATTAGTAATTTCCATTACTAACAATACTCTTCCTAATAAAAATCTATGAAAGAATTCAAGATTTTAATTAATATTGTCCAGGCCGCAGTCGTCCTGTCCCTCGTGGCGTTGGTGTCCGCTGGAGTGGTCCAGGTTGGATACGGAGGTTATGACCAAGGAGCAGTTGCGTACGCACCCGTAGCACAGGTCGCCCAGTACGGAGGCTATGATGACAGAAACGTTGATTATCACGTAAGTTAATAAATATAAAACAAACAATTTATTTATTGGAAAATCAAAAGCGCTACTACAATAAATACAATGTTATAATATAAATTATGGTTAATAATAAGTTTCCTTAATTGTATTATGTAGTTGATAGTTATAAAAGGTGAAAATGAGGAATAACGTATGTTAGTAAAGTGATAGATTAACGACTTTCTGACAATTGATGACACCGAGGAAGATTTTTACAAAAACAATGAAATCCAATCTTGTGTTTTTTTCTCTAGATGACAACCACCATCAGGTTTTTTTTTTTTTGTTCTATTTGAAAGATATCTTTTAGTTCAGAATTTTGAAAAATCGACTCCTTGGAGAAAAATAACTTCATTTGTACAGGAAATTGTATATTTTAAATAAGATGGGCAGTCCGACAATACAGAAATTGTAACACAAAAAAGATCCCACAAGACAAAACGCTGCAACACTGTATGCGCTATCACAAATATGAGTATATTTGGTACCTTAAATCTAACTGATACCACTATCAATTATATAGACAGGCCACCTAATTGAATACGCTATACATTGTTTATCATGTCAATAGTTAAATTATTCTGTATAACAAATAATACGTAAATTGCACATTCAACAGATGCTAATATCAACATTTAATGATATTATTACGTTAACTAAATATTACAAAATATGTACTAAAATACATTGTATTTGCCATATTTCATTTGAAAATAAATCAAATGTAAGGACTATAGAAAACAGAGAAATAGAAGCCAAAGACTAAAAAAATAAAGAATAATCAGTCATAAAAAATTACATCGTCCTTTTAAAAATGTAATATGTTAAACTCATCATAGAATCCCAATAGGAGCACATCGTTAAAAGAAGCAGTGATCCGGAAAAGATGGATACACTAGACAATGCAACAACTAATTTGAAATGCGGCCAGTTGCAAAATATCAAAATGATACATACAAAAAGACAAAGTTATAACCAACCTTCAGTTAATGAACATTGTGGCGAGGAACTCGCAATATGTGCACACAGTAGTAATCTCAAAGACCATTATTGCAACACGACACCTCTGTCATACCAGCCATAAATTCATTACATTTAAAACCTCTAAAAAATTGGTCAAGGATGTGTATGTAAAAAATTGTAACAGTAGCTATCTTGTAATTTTCTGCTAATTAACTCTTACACTAAACAAATGCATACTAATATCTGACCCGTAAGTGGAGCACCGAAGCTGGTTTTGTTTCCCTAGGCCTGTATTACTTCGCTAGTGACGTAATACAATAGCAACTAGCTAATTGATAACTTGCGAAAACGCGCATGCTGTACGATCCAATACAATCGAAGCTATTTCCGGGATAAGATCTGAGACTATAACAGTCCTTGTTGCTTATGTTGCATCATCCTCTCAGTACACATAGTTAAATTTAAGCGAATAAGTAATATTAAATTTCCCCAGAGAAAATGTAGGTAATGTATGCACGCAAATCAGACATCGTAATGCAGGTATATCGGCATTTAGCTTGTTTCTCTAGGCAGTTGAATGAGTAATAGCGTAAGACTTTTGTTATTATATAAGCAAAGCTTTATTGTTGAACACTGACTTGTCAGAAATAATTTAATATCTAAAATGACAATTACTATAATTATGATCCAATTGTTTCCAGATACTATCAAATTTCCATTTTTTAAACAAATTGTTCTTACTACAGGTAACAATAACGTAATTATTCATAAACTTCCTTGTCCTAGAAATGTCAAATCGAAAACAAGTTCTTGGGACCAAGCGAAAGATATTATACCCCATTAACTACAAACAGGCACTTGCTTACATTATTTACGTCAAGGATCTGAAATGTAGGTAATAGCCTACAACACTTTGCGCGTCGTAAATCAATGAATCGATAATCTGAGAGATTTCACGGTTCACATACCTATTTATGACGCTGTCGTAAATCGATAGAATAATTTGAAATATTCCAGTTGTGTATTACATAAAATCTCAGCAGCAAATCCTGGTCGTGACTGAAGGGCCGATAACGTAGCTGTTCCCAGAGCGTTGCGACACAGCGTCTACGACAGGGACGTAATGACTGTCATGATACGAGTGGAAATGGACCGTTGTTTGCATAAACTGGCGCGTGCTCTCACGCTCGTTTAATGGCAGATGTGGATTTTGTTGGTCCAGTGTCGACCTAAATGCAACATTAAGCAATTCATTTGACAGATTTTAATATTTTCTTTTAAATTCCATATAGTACTACATAAAAAACCAACAGAAATTATAACTGCTATAATTTGTTAATTAAACGTTACTAATTTATTATAATATTATGGCACTTATTACTCAATAAAATTAAGGTCAAGAGGACTACTATACCAAACTTTCGTAACACAATTCATCTAAAAAAATACTGATTACATACACACACACATACACTTGTACATAAACATAATATGATTAATTGTAATAATTCATCTTATTACAAACAAAACTGGCGTTTAGTAACTCGATACGTAACATAATGCCTATGTAATGCATGAGCCTTGTTAATTTTATATCGATCATGCACTATTATTAGTAAGCATTGAATCACACTTGTTTTGTTTGCTATTCCCCAGATTTTAATAATCACTCGTTTTATTCTATAGAAAAAAAACAAGCTTCTAATAAGGACATTTATTTTATTAATAAGTGTTTTATTCATTAGTGTAGTTATTAAGCTGCTAGAAATATTTTAAACAGAAAAGCGTAAATGATAACATGAATATACACAGATTACTCTTACACATATGATACTCACAACTCATTGTTATTTACTATTATTTAATTTTTCGTATAAATTTTAATATTAGTTTTTACTTAAAATGGTCAGCTCCCATACAGGTATCAAACATATATTTGTTGTTACGATTATATAATTAAACATATAAAAAATGTAAAATTAACAAAACCTTAAATTATATAGTAGTAAGATTAAAATAGCTTTCTTACCTTTCATGTACCACCTAAAAATAGAATTCGAGACATTTGTGTGAGAATAAATAGGACAAATAAATACCTAATAATGCCGCGCCTATTTCATATTAAAAATTTATTCAAGTTAAAATAAGTTACTATTGATATATCTTACATCAGAAAGTTTGAAAATCTTAAATTTTAATTTAAAAATCACCTATTTATTTTTATTTCAGGCACACCCCAAATATGATTACTCTTACTCCGTGTCTGACCCTCACACTGGTGACCATAAGACCCAACATGAGGTCCGCGATGGTGACGTCGTAAGAGGCGAATACTCCCTCCTCCAACCAGACGGCACCTTCCGCAAAGTCACATATACCGCCGATGATCACAATGGGTAGGTTTTTATAAATATAACGTTGACAATGAAATTACGAGCAAGATTAAGACCGTCATGTACTGGTAATATACTACCCCTACATATAGACTAAGAGCTCATAAATTCTAACCTGGCCGTCATCAAATTTAGAGGAACAAACTTTGTTTATCAATTTAAAATTCAAGCTAACTCTCCGATAATAATAAATACGGTTAACAAACTAATCTTAGCAATAGGCTTGCATCCTGGTACGCTACATTCTAATATGCTTGACGAAATATAGACATGTTGAGTATTACATTCGCTACTTGAAATAAAGTACTATATATGTATTAGATTGACTTTGAAAAATATGCAATAAGAATTAATTCAATAATTGTTAAGCTTTATGAAATTTATATAAATTAATTACAGCGATGGTCAACGGTAGACAAATAGAAGGCTGCAATTATAAGTTGTTACGTTATATTAATACACTATAAATATATGTTAAATAAATATTACAGGACAGCGACAGAAGACATTGATAAACCTTTTTAATATTCAAAATTATGATGGTGATGACATTAGCATGACGAACGTTACGTTACTAGTTAAATATAACCAAAACCTGATTGAAAATGTCATTTATCAACATGTTATCTCATCGATACGTTTCCTTCTCTTGAAGGCCAAATTGTTAGCATCTTATTTGAATAATTAAACTGACTAATTATATTTTTTGATTGCAGCTTCAACGCGGTAGTTGAGAACAGCGGAGCATCCCAACACCAATACTAGTTACCAAGAATGGTGGCGCATTGCCATACACCATATGTGATATTAAACCTTTAATACTTATGTAGATAGTCTTTGGTCGACATCGACTTTTATGTTTTAAGACTGCGGCGAAAATATACTGTTTGAAAAAAGAAATTGTATTTTTATTGAAGTATTTAATGTTATTTTTTTATAAGATTAGAATAAAATCAGTCAAATTAAGAACTCCATGATAGTAAGTTATAAGTCTGTGATACGTAAGCTTTGTCCACTTTTTTAGTTTCTGTGTAATAAACTTCATCATATAATCAAGTAAAATCCCCTACAGGTGTTTCTTTTTCTGTCCAAACATGCAGGATAAAACTAATCTAAAATTTGAAAAATGTACTAAAGTATGAGTTATTTCTCATTAATGGCGAGTGTTATATTCAAAAGCAGTTGTGAAAAGCATACCAGTACCAATTACGAGTGCATACAGATGAAAAGGTCTATATTCGCACTTGAGAATAAGTAAATATCCCTTTTAGTTCAGAAACTCATAAAATGTAAAAAATAATAAAAAATTTTAATCTTGGTAATCTTTTTTTTTTCCTTTTTATAAAATGCCATTATTTATAAATACAATTGGATATTTGAAACTTTTATACCAACACAATGCATAAATGATAGCGTGATTATTATACATAAAAATCACATAATGCTCTATAACCCGTGGACCACGATGCTTTTATTAATGTTTTAATGCCTCATTTCCCCCATTTTCCTATAGTGATCCATTCCAGGTTTAATAAAAAAAATATGGAACCATATCTTATCATTTTAAGTTTGAAATTATAATAGTAAGACCGACTAATAAATTTTCTCTTCCACTCATATCTGTTAGTTATTTTAATATTCACTCTCTATTTATGTCTTTCTTAATAACAGGCCACTGCTTAACATAAGCGCCTCTCAAGGCTCGCCACTTTGTACGATCTTATGCTTTTCGCATCTAATCGTTCCCAACAATTTTGCACAAATCATCCCCTTGTCATTTCAGTCCACTAATCCTTTCGGCTACATCAACGACTCTAGCTTTTAGATGAATTATATTGTTTTTAATTCAATCTCTCAAGAAAACTTCGAGCATAAGACTAAGCATGGTTCACTAAACGACTCAGCTTATGGACTAGTCCCGTCGTCGGCGTCCACTACTTCATATCTTCATTCATTTACTCTTTCTCATACTACTTAAAACATGATAAAATTTCATTTATATTAATCTTGATTCATTGCCTAAGTGGCAGTGGCAAAGTTTTACTTGCAGCCATGAATTACATGTAATAAAGTTAGCCTCACATAAGAACTAGTGATCCCAGAAATAAATCATTACATTATTTATTAAATATGCCAATTAGCCTTATAGATGATATCTAAATATTTTATTGACAATTTTGGCCATTATGTTTTCTTAAAGTGTCATCATCTTCCCGTTCTTCCTGTCCTGTCGTTTTCAGATCTATTTGAGGCGAGCGTAATATGTTATATATATATATATATATATATATATATATATATATATATATATATATATATATATATATATATATATATATATTATAGTTTCTTAAATGATAAACATGCTTAAAAAGCCTTTACTAAAGCCAACCTTCAATATTATTTTTTATAAAAATTTATTTAAAAACATATATTTTCGTTTGAGGGTCACAAGAAGGTATGTTGATTATGTCACCAAATTATTTAAATGTGGTCTACATAACGTATTTACATATATCAATACATTTTTGTATATTAATGTCTTATTTTTTTATGTGCAAGCTAAGCCCCCGACTTCGTCTGCATGATTATGCATTTCATGCAGTCTGCATGAAACTACCATCCAATGTAATTCTGTGATTAAAAACATACACTAGTCACATATATGTCACATAATTGACTTGAATAAGAAGAACTAACTAATTATATCTCATAATTTGCTGTAATATAAAATGGCAGTTTAAAAATACACCAGTTTTCTGAGCGACATCATTAAGTCATTTATAAAATTTCATTACAAATTGTTCAATTATAACTTCCAATGAACTTTTTTTTAATAACCGAAATAAGCACTAAGAAATAAATCTTACTGAAATTTAAATCACATTTCCTATGGATATAATGTATTTACACAATGTACTGTTCATACTAATAACTAGGCCCACCTTTTACCGTTACCTTATTTGCTTTTTTAAATGTCATAAAAAGTTATTAGATAGAGATAATACTCCTTAATTAGTCTATAATACTTACAAAGGTATTGTCCTAAACAGATTTATAACATTTAATGCATAACTTCGTTGATAGTTTTTTTTAACTACTATTTTATTACTATGAAATTAAAAGAGATATTTCTGGTTTATATCAAACCTGAGCTTAGTGAATTTACATTGTAAACAATAATTCGAATGCACATAAGCAAAGGACGAGTCGAAGGGCGCATAGAGCGAACTAACTGCAATTGACAACCCGCCCATTTTGTCATTGCCAAGCGTGGCAACTACTGGCAAACCCCCCCCCCCCAAGGGGGAGGCTTATGCTCAGCAGTGGACAGTTAAATGCTGATATAATGCATCATCATTATATCAGCATTTAACTGTCTGAAATTATATCATCATAAGCAAAGTCGGGAGTGTTAACCACTACAAAATAAGAAGTTATCAACTATTGATATTAATGTCAATTTGGTCGGTAAATAATTGAAAATATTATATAATTATCTAATCCCGCAGGTACTACCTTTAATCTATGATCATCTCCTCTTTACATATAAGAAATATATATACTTCTACAGGACATGTCGTTACGTAGTAAATTTTTCACAGATTACCGTAATTTTTGATAACAGAAAAAAGTAATCCTTTTTATTTTTACGGCTTTGACACCGCCAAGTCTGCCTATTGCTATTACTAAAACTAAAGAACCTAAACAAATCATTTTCTAGCTACTTTACATTAGTAATGAATAAAAGGATTTTTGATACACATAAAATGTTTAAAATTAAAGTAACACTGTATTTTACTCAAACCAAACCACAAAAATTACCAAAAGATGACGAACTATTTTTTACAATAAAGAACTCTAAAATATTTACCTCTTTTTTAGGATTTTCATGAACTGTTATTTTGGGTATGGGCATAGGAAATGAGAGCATTAAATAATTATTTATTTAAATAAACATTTTTAATTCACTTTATTAGGTTATGACAATTGCTAAATAGAGAAGCAATAAACACCAAAAATATCAATTTGATCTAAGCCTAAACAACATAATTAAATACTCGTATTTAAAAACTGAAATTGACACGACTGCCAAGTTTTATTGTTTTTACAGTTCTAAATTCAGAATTTAGAATAAATACTTCCTGTGTAATATTTCTTATGATTATGGTCAGTACTACTTTAAACTCCTTTAAGATTCCAACAGCAAATATGTTTCCAAATATGTTTTTGCAATATGTCAAATGTAGGCGAATGTATGGGTGTTATATGTTATTGGTATGAATATTACGATTACTATAATAATTTTTATTATTATTATCATATAATTTAAAATTGTGTTTTATAAAAAACAACCGCCTACTGAACTAATTGTGATAAAACACTAAACTTCTGAACCAATTTTGATAAAACTTCTATTGCACCAATCTAAAAATATATCTTTCTATTGGAGTTACTAAATCTAAGAAAGCAATAGAGAGATCTCAATAAAAGATCCTCATGCCACGAGCTGAAGTCACAATAGTAAGCTAATGTCTTCTTCTTACAGAAAGAAACCTTGGCCAAAGGATAGTGTGTTGTTAGGATATGCTATAAAATAAATAAATAAATACAAATTTGTCAATAAATTAATAATTTTAAAGTAACTAAATAAAAATATGTAATCCCTAACCATAATTTTAATTATAATTAAGATACAATTAACCAAGTGACGAGTAAGAAACATGTATTTCTTTTTATATATTTTTATAGATTATATGCTAGATATACTTTATATAGTTATATATACATATAGGGCAATTTTTACTCTATGTCGCGTGAATTAAATTACATATTACAGTGTCCATATTTTGCATTATTATAAGTTTATTGAAAATAACTTCTTTTAATAATAGAGGTTGTTTGTTGGTTTATGAGTTTCTTTTACATTATAAACGATCAAATAAAGTAATGAAATACTCCAATAGTAAAAATAGATGTACTCAACGTTTGTGTAAACAAACGCGAAAGCTATATAGGTATCATTAATTTTAATTATGTCAAAGGCTTCATTTATAACCTGGAAACAGATACAATTTGAATAAAGGAATAGCAGAGTTCCCCGTAACATTGCATAATATATACACACCACTCTACATAAAACAAAACCAGATGTCACGCTAGATTACTCACTTTTTGTAAACCACGTGTTTTGAATACTGGATAGAGAAAACACGGAGCCTGTGTTAAATCTTCATTAGCATTTTAATTGTTAACCGCTATTCATCTAGTCAACGACATTGATGGTTTGTTTCGGTATTACCGAACAGCATATTTTAAGACAAACAAAGCTCCTTTTATAAGAGAGGAACATTCAGAAAAATATCAGTAGTCTTCCATCGATCACCAGGAAAGATGATTCTTAATGTAAGTCGTTTCCTCTTTCTTGTCATTAAAGCTGACAGTAATGATATTTATATGTGTTTTAATAATTTGTTTCAGAAAATAGTTATATCGATCATTTTTAGTACGAGTTGTCTGCAGATAATATGTGGAGCTGGTTATTCTAAAGTCTATGTTCATAGAGGCGCAGAAGAAGTTCCAGTGGAATATTTAAATTACGGCGCACCTCCAGTTGTAAGAAATCCACAAATAGCTCAAATATCAGCTGCTCCTATTGGATCCGTTTTGCCACTACAAAACGTTGTATCAGGATGTGTGGCGCCATGCGTTATTCCTAGTCAATCTGTGAACACCGTAGCTGCCGTGCCTACTAGTTCTAAAATCATTGCCTATAATACTCCAAATGTACCTACTGTTGTTCTTCCAAATTCTGATGTAAGTACATAGAAATATTCAAATAAAAAGATAATTAATTGCACTAATTGCATAGTGAACCATATTCATGCGAAATTATTTTATCATCGATTTACAGTAAATTACCACGTACATCGAATAAGAGAGATAGTATTATAAGAGATAGTTTTGCTTATATTTAATTTCGCTGTATTTAAGTCAATGTGAAATTTTCTTTATTAAGGAAATCGAAAAAGTTTACTTACTTGTGCTTTTTTTAAATCAGTTGATTTTTCTTTAATACAGAATTGAGTTAAATATCATAATAATTATATGTTCTGTTGACTTTGTAGGAGAAAACAAGTTACGAATATTCATATGTAGTCTACGATGAGAATACTGGAGATAGAAAGGCACAACGGGAATTAAGTGATGGCTCAGTGGTACAAGGAGAGTATTCTTTTATTCAACCGGATGGTTATGTGCGAGAAGTTAAATATAGAGCTGATGACTTAACAGGGTATATATTTTTAATATTTTAAATAACGTTCTAAGATTATATATTTTTTGTACGATTATTCAACATTATAACCACTTTTCTCTTGAACAGATTCAATGCCATAGTGAAAAATTTCTTGCCAGAATCAACACCAGATGAAGACGCGAAAAAACCTACAAAAAAAGGTAAAAGTGAACCAGACCCAGCATGTCAACCGATTCAAACAGGTGCATTGAAAGTAGACTCAGAATTAACCGAATCTACTGAAATAACAGTAGCGCCAACAGTTGAATCAGCTCCTGAAGTAGCCTCAGTTTCTATAAAAGAGTCTGAAGCTATTGTGGTTATCGACTCTACTACTCCTGATGCGAATTCTGCATTTTCCACTGAATCTTCTGTTCAGTTAATCGGATCGCCACTCAATTCACCAGCTGCACTAGTTGAAAACCCTTCTGCTACTAAAGCTATTGAACCACCAACTGACAATTCAGTTGAATTGATCAAAGATTCTACTAGTGATTCCACGTCAGCTGAACCAGATCATGACATTATTAACTGTACAGATGAAACACATACACACGAAGCTGTAGAAACTCCTATTGAGACGATTCCTAAACCTGAAGTGCCATTGGCAAACGGACTTGTATCATATAAAGATATTATTCGATGCGTACAAGCAGCTATAGCTAATGGTGATCCGAATGCGAATACTAATATTTCTCCATTGACATACATAATTTTACCTGGAACCAATAAACCATGTTAAAAAATAAGTACATCCATGTCCTGAAAAGTGTAATAATAATATTCTAGTCTTATTTTTGAAAACCAATGTCGACTTGAATTGTATTATAGGTTTGTGTAAAGTAATATATTGGTATGATTTTGAGTAAAATGAGCAAAGAAAAACACAATATTCGTTTTATTTAGAAAAGAAAAAGAAATAAGAAACGAAATAATACATCTGTAAATGATAAATACGAAAGTAAAATCATTTACTAATATACTTCATGTTTCAGTTAAAATGACAGTAAAATGACGAAGTATACAGACACGACATCTTAGTCCTCAGAAATTACAACATATAAGGCATGCCATGTCCATCATAGTATATTGTTTAGTGTCTATTGCTATTCGTGTCTATAAGCGCCGATTTTTGCTTTTCACCAAATAGGCCGTAGTCTGTTCGCTACAACTCCTTTTCCATAAGACTAAAGTCACATTTTTTAATTCTTTAAATCCTTTAGTAAATATATTAATACTTAGGATTCATATTCAAAAACATCTGGCAACAACTCAAATAAATCATTAGATTACCTACATTATATTATTATTACTTATTTACAAAGATCTATGATAATGAACTAGTACCTAAGTACTTAAAAAGTATATTATAACTCAAATCGTTTTTCCGGATACGGATTATATTAACGATACGAAGCAAATTAAATAATAGCTTGTGAGTTATATTTGTAAATATGAAATATGGAAAAATAATATACATACAAAGTTATAAAATATTGCGTGGTTGTAATCACAAACCTCAATATAGGTACTTGTAACGACAACCTTACAACAAACTCAATTGGTCAATCGATCATATCAACTCGAACCATTTAAGTTAGCTCTTAATGTAAAAAGATTATCATCTTGTTATGCCTTTGTTGGTATTTAGTAGGCAGATATAAATAAAACTTACTCAATAATCTAAAATGGTAAAGAAAAGAAAATAGTGCATAACTCTAAAAATACGGAATAAATTACTATTCTCATGTCGTAACTCGACATTGTCGCTCTAATTCTTGTACTACAAGAATTAATGCAACTGTGTTTAGTTACATATTTGTAGAACAACATTCGGTAAAGAGGCAATTACATCAAACGAACAAGGAGTAGATAAAAAGGTACAATAGTCTTAATGCTAGGTTTAGGATTAAAGAGCAAACAAAACAAACAAGATTCAAAACAGAACAACAACGGTTCTGGAATTATTATATTTTAGACGTACATTCTGTAGTTTATTGTATCATTGTGAACGTTGATATACTATGGATGCGTTTATAATTTTGCTTTTTTTCTAAATAAAGTAAATAATCCTACATAAATATACATACATTGAACAAATATTACTTACATATACAAATATATATCATAAAAACGTACATATATATATATACACATACGATTATATACTATGATACCAATAAACAACAATAGAAACCAAAGGTGATGATGAAGTTGATGAACTGCTTTCACAGCTTATTCAAAAGATATTCATAGACTTTTTTCTTAAAGTAAATTTGTTAGACACTTGTCTTGTGTGAATAGGTAGCGCATTCCAGAATAATGAGGCCTCAGAGTGAAAGAATTGGAAATAAAACCAGAACGATGCAGAGGAATAGAGAGAACAAGAAATTTTTTAGAGCAAAGTTCCTGTGTACGATAATCACTAAGATAGTTGAACCATGTTCTGCCATATATTTTTTTTAAAGAGACACCGTAGACACATAGCTATATGAAATATGCTTTACAACCTACAATCATATCTACCAAATATACATAAAAAAATCCTAAACATCGGTCAAATCGTTTCGGAAGAGTTTCATCACAAACACCGTGAGCGAGATTTTTATATATAAGATATAACCAAATTTTAATGATCATGATCTCGTATTGTATGCTATATCATCAAATATTACTATACTGGTACATTAATTAAAATTAAAACGAAATTTCAAATTGTTCCTATTCATTCCATTTTATAGTGCGAGTACTCTAAGCACGTTTGTAAAAACTATTTTGATTTTAGCTGTATACTTTATATTAGCACTACGTCTTAAAATGCTCCCTAATACATTTATAATACATTGTAAGTAATTTCACACGCTTGTTTGATATATGAAATAGAATTCTTTACAAGGTAAATAGTGTACTATAATAATTTCAAAACAAACATTGTATTTTCTCAAGCGCAAACATTAAAACCAACGTTTAGGCAGACAGTGTGAGTTATTATACCGCTATAAATCCAAAGCTAATTTATTGTTATAACATTTCCGCGTAGTTTACTTAATTTACATTCAATTTGTTTTCAAAATTTATCGCATTCTTACATTAAATATAATTTAATCAGAAATATCATATAGTTATTAAATTATTATACAGTTATTACTTTTTGGCACTTTAATGGCTCAATCAATTAGACTATTTTTTATCCTGTTCAATCAATAATTCGCGGTATTTAACTTCGATCACCTCTCTCAGCGCAGGACACATCAAGTTTCGCATTATAAAAGAGACCTACAATCTACACTGGCCATTTGCTATGACTTGGCCTCTTTTCGACATTTCTTTAACATGGAGTGGTTAGCTTTGTGTAGCCCTGTTATTATTATTTAGCCCTAATATCTTGTGCATGAAAAGGAATACAGTGATATTCTGTATTTATACTCTATCATCACATAAAAATTACTATTATACGATTATGATGAAGTAACAGTAAAAAAATAAATAACAACATAGTATCTAATCTAAATGATAACGCAAAATTTATTTGAATTCACAATTTTTGAATGGTTATAACCATTTATAGATTGCGATTATTAGTAATGAGTAGGTAGTCACTATTGCTAACAATGTACCAATCAGGTCGACCTCCCCGCGGTTCCCCCTGGAAATCACCATAATCAATTCTTACTGTATTCGTCACAATGAGCTAACTGACCTGTTTACATCCTTACTTCTTACTTGTACTACGACAGCGTATATCAATAGCACAGACAGGGTTACCGTACTATTTTCACCCATAAAAAAACCGTAAAACTTGTGATACAGTTTTAAATCATAAACACAAATTTTTTTTCTAGTGCCTCAAATATCATAAATATTTTAAACTTTAGCGATTAAATAAATCAAGTCTTACATAATAAAAACGGAAGTAAATTCTCAAAAAATCATCACAATACATGATGGCATTATTTGATTAATGACTTTCATTATTAAGATAAATATTTATAAATGTTAGAACAGGAACTAATTGGTTGTCAAAAATATTTATAACACTTACAAATCATATATAATTGTAGTAGGCATACTGATTAACGAGTTCACACTAGTTAACACTTATTGACTCGGCCTTGAGAATGTCAAAGTTACAGTTACAGAGTCAAGGTGCGCGCACGCATTTCTCCGCCCCACCGCACAGACACGCGCCGCCCGGCCGTGTTCTATAAAACCATACAGCAGGACCATTGACATCAATCAACAATTGTTAATTAAACAATACGCACAAAATGTTCAGTAAAGTAAGTGTTCAAATTAAAATAAATAAAATATTGCAATAGGCAATCTAAATATAACAATATCCAAAAATATAACGTTTACAGTACAGACTGATACTGATGACGTAATATTCATAATTTCTCTAATTTTTTGATAAAATAAAGTTTTGGTAGAAAAACATAATAAGTTACATACACTTTAAAGTTCTTTTTGTTATATTTAAAAAATCATCAAAATTGTGATTGTACTTTAAAAAAAAAGTTTTAGGACAGGACAACTACTGTCCTGAAACTATTTTTTAAAGCCATTTTTTTATTTTACAATAATAAAATGTCTAAATAACTGTTTCCTACACATGAGTTCTTTAGACAGTGGTCATAGTCTCTTAAACCAGATTAAAAAAAGAAAATCTCTCTTTCAAACCTGATTGTTAATAATAATTATTATTTATAATTATGTATTTTTCAATTGAAATAAAAATGTTATCGATTATAATTCCAATTGTCGTTTGAATTCTTTTAAATTAGGTATCTTAACTCACGTACTTGTATATCTCGAACTTAAATTGACTACTGTCAACTAATTTTAATTATTGTAATAAATATTTCTGATTTGTTTTTACAGCTCATAGCTTTCGGCGCTCTTCTGGCGGCAGCAAATGCTGGCCTATATCACGGGCACGCAGTGTCCTCACAAAGCATCGTACGTCATGACGAAGGTCATTACGCCGCTCCTCTGGTTCACGCAGCTCCTGTCGCCCACTACGCTGCGCCTATAGCTTATGCCCCAGCAGCCTATTATGAAGGACATGACGAATATGTAAGCATTAATAAACGTCTTGAATACTATATTACAAATACCCAAGAACAATACATAACCTTCAGATGAATTGGCATGAACGCAAAATGTATTTGTGAATTGCGTTTCTATTCCATTACATGAAATGAAGGTAGGTATATGATGTATAAATACTCCGATTAGCTCTTCGAGTATAAAGTCGAGAACATTTAAGTATATGATTATATTGCAAATTATGAAAATGTAATTAATAGTTGAACTATTTTATTGCTGCAAATTATCCACTTGCAATGTAATCATAGGTATCTTTACAACAGAGCTCCGTACATTCACCTTCATTAGGATACAGTATTTTATATGCCACTAAAGGAAGAACGATTTTGAATTGCTTGTCTTTTACCATATGTACTGTAGTAAAAGAAAATATAATGTACTTATTAATATAGATATCAGAAAAACATACATTAATTATTTATTATGAATCATGTTATCACTACTTGCAAAACCCTCCAAGGCTGAGGCTATGTTTAGCAGCAGAACGACTGATATGATGTTATCAAGATTATAAATTTGTTAATAAACATTATAGGCTCATCCCAAATATGACTACGAATACTCTGTCGCCGACCCGCACACCGGCGACCACAAGTCGCAGCACGAGAGCCGCGACGGCGACGTGGTGCACGGCTACTACTCATTGGTGCAACCCGACGGCTCCGTACGCAAAGTCGAGTACACCGCCGATGACCACAATGGGTAAATAAAATAGCATATCTTTTAATGCATATCTAACAGCATTTTATCGTCAAACCAGCAATCAGGGAACGAATCTCCAGGAATATATGCAGATCGTATGACTGCCTATTTTTATTTTTAAAATAACACAATTAACATGGAAAGGTTTTGCTGGAAGAAATCTCTTATTAGAGATAAACTCGCCTCTGTACATTATGTTTATAATGAATTGTAATTAACACTATGTCTTGTGCACAATAAAGAATAAAGAAAGAATCTCCACTCTTAAACCGAAACACTATTAATTCATAACATGAAAGAAAATGCAGTGTTTGCTCTTCTTTCATCATCCGTACCCTACGCAATGAAGAGTGGAATTCTCTTACTGCATTTGTTTTTCAAACCACATATAATTTAAAACCTATTTAAGGACAATGTATAAAGGCTATTCATGTTAATAATACTAGGAATGGCAACATCCCATTTTGGAAACTTAGCAACGAAAAATTTATAGATAAGATAGAATTTTGATACAAAAAAAGCTAAATTATTATATCAGAATTTCCATAGAATTCTTACCACAAATTTTTGATACCTACTAAAATGCACTAGGATGTACCTCTCAATGACACTATTTTGTTCGAATGTTTAAATAAATTCCTGTAATATTCCCTCTTTTACCAATTTTAAAAAGATAATGGGTTTAAATTAAATTACAGTTTTTAATAGCATATTACACGATATGTTAGCCCATTTTAACGATTCTATTTCCATTTTCAGTTTCAACGCCGTGGTGCACAACTCTGCCCCATCTGTACATATTGCTCCAGTACCAGCCTACCATCATTATTAAAAAAAATCATAGCTTTTTAATTGAATACCTGAATGTCGCATGCTAGTTGATACCTATTTATACTTTTTTAAATATGAATGTGTTGAATGTGCTCCGATAAATAAAATGTGTTTGTTGTACTTACTCTCATAGTTTTATTTTGATTGCATGTTTACATACATATTATTGAAAGAAAAACTTCAGCTCAGCTCAGCTCAGTCAGCTAATGTCTTTTACCTGAAAATATAACATTCTAATATATAATATAATATTCTAATATATCTGATATATAATAATATAATATTCTAATTTATAAAAAGTACATATATTCACATTCAAATCATCTTCATTAAAATACCCTTGTTTACGAGCACTTTTTAATTATTTTTTATGAATCTACCGCAAGGGTCGGAATGTTGTTACCTACTGAGAACGTGCTCTTTTAAATCTCTATTAATATTGTGTTAATCAAGTAAAATGTAAGTCTAAAATTACTCTTACATGGTCACTAAAATGCCCGTGCATGTTTGACTAACACTCTACACGTTTATGCATTGTTTATTCAAATAACAATCGTTTTAATGTATACTAGGCTTTGATCAATAAATGTTTAGATCGAAAAAATAAAAAAAAGGTAGATCAAAAATATCCTTCGGTATCATATAACATTTGATGCCTATTCTTATAAAAGACCTATTAACTTCTTCTAAAGATACGTCGGAACAGCAAATTTGTATTTGTATCTAGTATTAAGTTTATTACAATCGCCGTTTTTATGAAACAATGAATATTCTTGCGTATATAAAAATTGTTTGCGTATATACATGTACTGTGAGAATATTTGCTTCTTTAAACTTCTCTCTTAATGATTTACAACTTCCCATAGAATAAATTGCGCGAATGGCACGTTTTTGTTAAACAAATATCCATTGGTTGTCGGCTGCTTTAACCCATAATAATACTCCATGGGGCAATGTACCATAAAAATAACTATAATTAAATAATTTAGCAGGTACAACATTAATGTACTGTTTAACCCTGCGTACAGCATACACCGTCGAATTTAATTTGGTAACAAGGTTTTGAATGTCCCTATTGAGTTTTATTATCATGAGTGAATATTAGATTTTATTATGTATAATAATTCCTATAAGTGTTTACTGTCATGTAAAATACTTTTGTTACAAATACATATTATAATAAAATAACTGAACAATTTCTCTTTCACTTCCTTCGGGAGGTTAATAGTTTCAATTTCATCCTGTTTACTTAGACCGTGAAATTAAACAATTTTATTGAACAGGTCTATTTTAAATATGTTTTTGAAACAAAAACGAGCTTTATTAGACCTCGCACTTTATCATCATACTTCACACACCTCACACAACCAAAGGACTCCATATATGACATACTTATCATGCGTATTTTACGAGTTTTATGAGTTTTTCGAGAACTACCTTTTATCTTCATCACGATAAGCTAGATGGTACCATAATACTGCTCTGTGACCAAATTTACATAAGCATATCGCAAATTTTTAACGAGTATAAATTTGGAATGGAAAAACTTGCATTAGTTTTTAAAACAAGTTCAAAATTTGTAAAAATTAACATAAACACCATTTATTGCTAAACTATTTACTGAAATTAATCATCAGTCTATGTTACTGCTTTCTTGTCTTTACTACTTCACTGATATACATAAAAATCCTGGGAAATTATCTGTTATTTAAAGATTTTTCATTTCTTTTTATATTAAGAAAATTTGTAATTAGTAATATAATTTATAGTCGATCGATTGTGCAGAACATTAGATGGAAATATAAAATCCTTCTTGAAATTTTACAAAACATTGTGTGTTTTGTGTTATCGTGTTCTAAATTTAAATATTTTTCATTATTGTCTCTTCGTTTTCGCAGGGCATTTATTATTCTTATATATATCGATGAATCCAACCCGGCTAGGCAAAGTTTGGAAAACTACACCACACCTTTCATCCAAAATACCTCTGAGTTTGAAGAAGAAGGTCTTTATCCAGTGCGTGTTACTAGTGATGACTTATGGAACCAAAACATGGTTTTACACGATTGTTCGTATGTAAAAAGCTTCAAATTACTCAGAGGACCATGGAGAGGCCGATGCTCAGAGTCACTTTGCGTGATAGAATCTGAAACGAGGATATTCGCAAAACAACCAAAGTAACCGATGTAGCCCGAAGGATAAGCAAGCTGAAGCGACAATGAACTGGTCACATAGCTCGAAGAACCAACAACCGATGGAGAAGAAAGGTTCTTGAGTAGCGACCCCGTACAGGTAAACGCAGTGTAGGACGCTCTTCTACTAGATGGAGCAACGATCTGAAATGTATTGCAGGGAGTCAGTGGATACATATGGCTCAGAACCGTTCTTTATGGCAGTCTATGGGAGAGGTTATGTCCAGCAGTGGACGGATAATGGCTGAAATGATAATGGTAATGATAATGATATTATTCTTATCTTCTTCTTTTTCATTTAAGAGTTTCTTCTTGTCGGTGCAACTAATTCATGCATCTTCTTCCAGCCAGCTCTATCCCAGGCTATATCCTTGACCTCCCTATACGACATGACACCTAGTATTTCTTTTATCTGTCCCATGTAGTTATTCTTTGGTCTTCCGCTTTTGCCCTCTATTTTTCATTCTAATTAGCTCTTAAAAAAATCGTCATGTCGTATAAGATGGTCCGGCATTTTGCCTCTTCTATTCCCTATTATTTTAATTAATGTTCTTTTCTCTTTCACTCTTTTCGGGACTTCCTCATTCGTTAGTTTTTCTGTCCAGCTTATCCTTTCCATTCTCCTCCATGTCCACATTATTCTTATGATAATACGAAAATTATTTCGAATGCATATGAAGTATTACTAATAGTTTGTCACTGTGACCTTATTTGATTTTACTTACACAAAATTGGAATTAATATATTTAACATATGTTTTTACTTCCTGACACTAAAATACAAGTATAACGGGTTTTTAATATTAAGAGCATTTACTGAACTTACAAGATTATTTGTTTTCAATTTTTAATTAATACAGTAACCTAGAACTTACATAATATTATTATGTTTATAAAGTTATACTATATTCACTAATCACATTCATTACTGAACAATTTTTTTACTGTTTTTTATTCTAATATACAATAGGCCACTCCTTCCTTTTCCGTAGCAGATAAGAGGCAATTAAGGGAGAGCGTGAGATAGGCAACAGCGTCCCTCTTAAATCATCTCCGAAATCTAACTGTGGTTGCCAATCCGCCTGCCAATCGTGGCAACTACTGCCAACACCCCTCAAGAGGGAGACTTATGTTCAGCAGTGGACAGTTAAAGGCTGATATGATGATGATGTTGAATCTAATATAAAAAAATCTGAATCCTTTTTTTAAATAATGAATCCTAAAGACTGAGTTTAGACTACGAATTTTCTTCCTAAACTATATGTAGTATTAGAATACTAGTTCAAAACAACGTCTACTGAGTTTTTCACAGTCATTCATAACATAGAAACTTTGTATTTACTACTGTTAAACCGTCAAACATTTTATTCTAGTTTTAAGCGGATGTGTACTGAATAATGCTTGAACACATGCTTATTTGTCTGCATTCAGACGCTAATGAGAACCTAAGTATATTAATAGTTTCACAATGTTTTACAAGTATTACGAGCAAAATATATTTATAGAATCTGTTTAGATTTTTTTTTATACAACTTAGAATGGCAAACAAGCTGACGGCCCACCTGATGGAAAGTGGTAACTGTCGCCTATAGAATCAACATTATTTGATACTTTTAATACAAGGACACTTTATAAATGTAATTTATTTCTGATTAAAACAAATACTTAAAAAGCATCGTCTGATAAAATACGTAATTACATTATTACTTACCAGAAATGGAATAATATTAAAAAGCTATATTCTTAGATATTATATCTCATTTTGTTCCAAAACTCCAAAAAAATATCCCATCATAAGTAGTAAAGTAATATTTTTAATTTACTATTTTTGATATAATACCTATTCACATTCTTTTAAATAGTGTTAAGATCTCATAATATTAATAGTTTAAATTGCTATAACTTTCTTTAAATATTATCAATTAATTTGATTAATTTATGATTATATGATAACAGATCATTTATATCTAGATGGAGCATTAAATGTTTAAAAAAGGTTCTATAAACGGTAACTTGACTATTAATACGTCGCGCTTTTTCTTACTTATTCATCATTAGTGTTTAATATTCAATCACTTATTAAGGTATAAGAAAGTACAAAACTAAAATATTAATAATAATTTTATTTAATTATTTTATCCGTGATCATTCATCCCAATTACAGCGTGTGTACGTTGTCGTGTGTCATGATAAATTGTTAAATTGGTTGGTTAAAGTGTCAAGAGGTAACAAATAAAAATACTTTCTCATTTGTACCTACTTGATAAAATTATCATATTTTAATCAAGTCATAATTACAAGATTAATACAATTTCAAAAACGCGCCATTTAAAAATGGTCTACGTTATCTAAGTATTATTTATCTGTATCAAAACCTACACCATAAGAACAAACAATGTGAACCTTATTATTATGGCTAGACATTGCATTGTAAAATGCCTATTAAAACCTTCAATAAACAAAAAAAAAACACTTTTTGTGGATCACCACAAAACACGTACTAAGTGTACCTACCATAGTAAAAAGCAAAATTACAACAATCGATACCGTGACATATATTGAGATTCTATAATCGTATAATTCGACCTTTTGTATTGACATTGTCGCGAGGGCGCATTCTGCGGTCAGCCCCACTTGTTCTTTTTCAATATTTCATGATATAAAAACCTACAACCAATGGTAATTGACATCAATCACCAACCAAGCATTGACTAAAGTACATGAAAATGTTCAAAACTGTGAGTGAGATATTTTAAGTACATAAGTGTCAATTAGTCTACCTAGTCGTGCTAAATTTTATAATAAAATATTATTAAGTGATGGTCCAATCGTAGATTATGTTATCGTGTAATTCACATAGTGCGATCGTGATGTGTGTTAATCACGAATCGCAATGCAGAAGAAAATTCTAGACGTAACATACAGTGATTCAACAAAATAGTTACAAAACAATAGGCATAATTATATATTCAGAGTGGTTCTATTCCTATTATGATATCATATTATCTTATTAACAATTATTTTTCTGAATTACAAATTCGATATTAATTATTTAAGGTCAAAGTTTTACATCAGACTAGTCCGTTAAAAATTATATTCATGATAATATTGATTTTACTTTAAAGATAAAGTAATTTGATTATTGTATAATTGATATGAAAAATAACAATATATTTATTACAACTTACAATGTATGGTATATAATATAACATGTTAGAAATTAGTATATACAGTAACATACCTTTATATGCTGCATGTTCCTAAATTATAAATATTTTTATTAATTACTTTTTCTACAGCTAGTAACCTTCAGTGCCATGCTGGCTGCTGCCAGCTCTAGTCCGTACGGGCATGCCATCTCTTCTCAGAGCATCATTCAACACAACGGGGCATACGCGCCTATAGGGCATATAGATGCACCTGCTCTCTACGCCGTGCCCCTAGTTCACGCGGCCCCTCTAGCACATTATGATGCCCCTATTTCCTATGATGAGCATGATGATGGCGTAGACGATTATGTAAGTTTATAATACCCAATACAAAATTCCCTTTGGGAGAATGGGATTATTGGTAATGAGGTCTAATAACCTCATTGCTAGAAATATACCCTGTAAGGTTAACCTTCACACGGTTCCCCCAAGAAACTATCATGATTATTTCTTGTCAAATTCATCATGGTGGGCCAACTGACCTGCATTAATTCTCACCTATCGTCTTCCACTGGTGCGCCGCCGGTATATACCAATAACGCGAGCGGGGTAACCATTTCATTTTCATCTATTAAAAAAAATGCAAAATTCTCTCTCTATTTAAATCAATTAAGATTTTTAAAAAAATAACGATATTCAATATGAAACTAACCTATGTCTACTACAGAACTAATTATCAGAGTCGGATTAGAATCACCAAAAATATCTCGTATAATACACACCAAAAGTACGAGTGAATTGAGAGTCTCATTCTTTTTGCTCATGCATTGCCATTTCTGAGAGCTAAGATGAAATTCACTACCAAATCATGTATAAATTTCAAAAACATCTGAAATTTCTGAAACCTTTGAAATTTCTAACCACTATCAAATATCCTGGTTTGTACGATTAAATCAGCAAAATTCAACCCTCACTTTGTGTCACAAAATTACAAAATAGCTGTAAACCATCTCAAATAAGTTGGTTAATCTATCACTAAGTTCTTTCCTTCAACATACAATCCAAAAAATATTATTAATCGTGACTCATGCTATAATAGGTTCATTTAGTAAATATTCATCCCTAATTTTAATGTTGAAAATTATTGATTAATATGTACAACAGTAACTCATTACATTTTTTTTGTTAAGGGTCATGCTTATCCCAAATATGCCTTTGAATATTCCGTATCGGACCCGCACACCGGCGACCATAAGTCGCAGCACGAGATCCGCGATGGCGACGTCGTGCACGGCTACTACTCGCTGGTGCAACCCGACGGCTCCGTACGCAAGGTCGAGTACACCGCCGATGACCACAATGGGTAAGCAAAACAGTATATTGTTCCTTAGGGAATAAAGTAGACAAACCAGTGAGTGCAACGCTAGATGCCTAAAATAAGCGTTGCTTTTGACTACAAATGACAGGAATTAACAATCTTACTCGTATTTTCTATCGTGTGATATACATGCTATATATCATACGACGCCATGTATATCTCATCTCTTCTTCTCGTTTAAAAGTTTCCTTTTATCAGTGTAACTAATACGTGCATTCTCTTCCAGCCAGCTCTATTCCAGGCCATATCTTTGACTTCCCTATACGACATGACACTTAGTTTTACCTTTATCTGTCCCATGTTGTTATTTGTCGGTAATTAGTTATATCACATTTTGACATAAATTCATTAATTATGAAAGTCACACTGTTGTCGGTAGAGCTCTTTCCACTCACTCCGATTTTCATTGAACCTCTTTACCACTTCATATTTCACAATAACAAAGTTATTTTTAATATGGCTGATATACTCGTAACTATGTCTTAATATCCCTTTCCTCCCTCTTTCCTTTTGTCTTACCTTCTATTGCAATGTTTATGAAAGCGTCATGTCAAATCAAATGTACAAACATGTTCTTATAACAAAACCCGTTTACTCACTTTACTACAAGTATATTTTAGACTGTTATTTTAGTTTATTGAGCCAGATATATTTAATCATTGATAGACAAATTGTCTCTATCGCGACAGTAATGCCCTTGAATCGGAAAATCACCAAATCAAAAAATACAACGAAAGCACTCTCATGGTGATTAAAACATAATAGATACTAATACGACATAACATTATTGTTATGTTAATGGAATTGTTTCATTTAATTATTTCTATTTTAAGCAAAACTTCACCAATGTATTTATAAAATGTTGAACAAATAATATACCACATAGTATTCGACAATAAAGAAACGAAGACTGTCTTATATGTAATGTTAGGCACCTATAACTGTCCTTACTAATATTATAAATGTGAAAGTGAGTTTGTTTGTTGTACGTTATAGTGCTTTAACGGCTTAACCAATTACTATGAAATTGAGTATACATATACTATATAAGATGGAGAAGAATATAAGCTTTTTATCCCCGTCAGTAAATGCGAAAGAATTCATGGAAAAAGCTAATTGTGAATATTTTGAGAACTACTAAATATCTCGTACAATAAATCAAAGAAAAAAGTGGATATCGGTTAGATGGTTCTCATGAAAACTTGTGTTCTTAAATAGTATTATAATCCTACTAATATTATAAATATAAAAGTGAGTTGCTTTGTTTATTAACTCATAGCATTTTAACAGCTAAACCAGTCATCATGAAATTTAGTAAATATGTATTATTTAATTTTCTTGTTTGCCATTCTAAATTACATAAAAAAAAGAAATAATGAATAATATAATACTTTATACCCTGGACAAAAAATATATTCCGGTCACGTGAATGAAGTCATTATTAAAAACTAATATGTATAATATTAATAGTTTTTTGCTTAATATTTAGATTGACGTTCACTTCTAGATGACGTATCAAGATGAAATATATATATATCAGTTTTTAATTACAATGGAATCGTATTCAATTTAGTGCAGTAGTTTTTACATTTTGCCGAAACAAACAGACAGCGATATATTCTAAAAAATATTATTTCAGCATCTATCGACTTGGCTATGATCTCTTATAGTCATTCTTATTCTATTTATCTTTTATGTACAAACATCACCTAGTTACAATTTAATATACAATCTATACTTATAATAAATCTGTAGAGAGGTCAATTCTGTACATGAAATATATTTCCAAAATAACTATCAGGGGGTGATTAGTGATCGATACTGATGCCAAAAATGCAATTAATAAAATTTTTGTCTGTCTGTCTGTATGTTCATTATAGACACAAAAACTACTCGACGGATTTTAACAAAACTTGGTACAATTATTCCTCATACTCCTAAGCAAGTTATAATATACCTTTCACCAGCTATGATCAATAGGAGCAGAGCAGTGAAGGGAAATGTTCGAAAAACAGGAGAAGTTACTCCATTTTTAAGCTTCCGTTGCGTGTGCTGCTTTAATGGTCACTTTTTAAAATGGAAAAATGTCCACCCATGCGAAGCTGAGACGGGCCGCTAGTGTTACATAAAAACAAGCGAATTTAGAATTCATATTTCTTTCTTAAATAAAAAAAATAAATCCCTTTTTCTTTGTTTCAGTTTCAACGCAATAGTTCACAACTCAGCGCCGTCCATCCACCCGGAGCCCGTTTACGACCACCACCACGACTATTAAATATACCAAATATTAATTATTATCATTAATAAAGATATATAAATTATAATTTATTAACTTCATACATATGCATTTAAATTTACTAAAGCCGTATATATATCATTCGTCATTATCATCATCAATGTACATCTATTACCTCTAACTGCTCAGTGTAAATTTTTTATCATGATCTTTTATCTTAATATATAAAATCCCGACTCACGATGTTCGTTCACGCTAATCTCGGAAACCGTTCGACCAATTTCATAATACAAATTTATGAATGTGTATTGTTTGTTCCAACTTTTTTTTTTAATTGGTTGATAATGGAATGATAGCCCCGCCTGCGCTAACAGTATACGCTGATGAAGCACCAGTGAGGGATAGGTGATAATGAAAAGGTCAGTTAGCCCATCGTGATGAATACACCTGGAATTTAACACGATGGTTTGTAGGAGGGACCACGTAGAGGTCGACCTGACAGGTTTCATTGCTAGCAATGGGACTGGTAGTCCGCATTACTAACAATCCCTCTCCCCACCCCACCGTTTGTTCCAACTTTAAATATTAGATAGGTATTATACCAATAAGATAAAATGGACATGGTTTATGGCTGTAAGCAAATAAAACAACGTTTAACGTGATAGCTGATTTTTTTATAAACTATCTACAGTTGGCCAATCGTAGTGATGATATAACAATGATTTTCAGGAGGATCCGTGTGGAAGTCGATCTGATAGGATATTTCTAACAACGGAAATTAACATTCCCTTTACTAACAATCCCTCTCTCTCTAATACTACACAGTAGTACAACAATGGATAGTTATAGATAGGTGGCCAATAAAATATATTAGACAAATATATGATATTATAAACAAGTTTTAATGCAGGTGAAGCAATCTATAAAAAGCTATAGTTATACTCGTACGAGAACATGTAACTATTCAGCCTTATAGCAAATTTTAAAATTTGATAAAAGAGATAATCTCTCTACAGTTAAACTTGACTTTGTATGATAATATTATAAGATAACGTATCTAAAAATGTTTCGTGTGTAATAAAAAATAAATAGCTTTTGTAATATGGCAGTAAGAATAAAAAATACGGCACGTTTAATTTTCATATATAGATATATCTATCCCCGATTTTTGAGGTCGGAACAAAACATTAACATATACTCGTGCAAATTCTTACAAACTGTGTAATCACGATATCGATTTTATTATTTTCAAAAGAATATGGAAACTAAATTTCGTTATGTACAGTTGAATGTACATTTATTTATTTATATGCTTTTGTACATTCAGTTTTAATATAGATATTAATTTATAACAAAAATGTACACAGACGAACTTTATATCCTCTAAAGCGATTTCTTCCAGTCAATCTTAAAAAATTGCATAAAAATACATTTTATGCAACAAATATTATTCTGAAGTAAATTATTATTATCAAAATTAATGTTGCAAATTTAAATACTATTTTACAATATTTTAAATACGAGTATTTCATTCTATAAAATAAATAAAGAAAAACTCCTATTTATTGCAGAGACACAATATAAGATTTTTAAACTAATTACTGAATTAACTTCTATTGCTAATTAATATTTTAGCAAAATATCCATAATGCCGTTTTACAAACAAAAATACAATTTTATTTTTAACACATTTAAGTTACTAGTTATTCCTTCTTTCACATTCACTACCCAGGTTCAGGATATTACTTTTTAATTAATTTCATTGATCTCAACAAAACAAACTTAATCTCTTAATCTTATTCTTATAAGTAGGTATATGTAGTTAATGTAAATATATTTAATCTTCGTAAATATTTATTTTTTACCTACTATTAAGCATAATTGTAATAGTAATCTGTTATCTAAATTCTTTTAAAAAGTAGAAACACAGGAATATATTTTTTTAATTATTTACAAGATGTTAATATTTTGTTCGTCAAAAAGAAAACAAAAATATAAATGCAGATCTTACAATGTTCGTTCTAATTAAAATGTTTAATATGATTCCCCTCAAGACTGTGGAATACCTGATATATTCATTGATTTACTCGTAGTTCTTTTACATGTACTGCGTTATTTATCTGTTTATATCATAAAAGATATCTACAAGTACTTACTCTTAAAAAATTTATAAACGAACACAAAAAAAAAAAAATTTAATATCATTGTAATTTAAAAAAAATATATACTAAATCACATATAATTGCTATTATGTGACGATTTTGTTCCTACATAATAATATATATATATATACGATAAATTGTTAAAATTACACATGTTCTTAAATTTAATTCTCAATATGTATTCCATTCCACATATAACAAACTTTAAGTAAAAAATAATACTACAATAATCACATAATAAAATATTAAAATTTGTACCAAATATTGTATATACAAAGAATTAATTCACAACTTAGGCATTATTCGATATACAATTTGATGAAGTCAGTACGGCGTTGATCAAAAAACTATCACCCACGCATGTGCCCACTACGAAAGTCAATTTACAAATAATAATATCTTATCATGGACCACATTGACCTACTATAACGTATAATATAGTTCACAGAGTATTTTTATTAAGTAATAATCATTTACTTGGTCGTATGTAATGCGAGAATGTGAAGACAAAGCGGGGCGACCTTGTGGACGTGGGGACGACTGAGGAGTGCTCGCGCGCCCCACCGGGCCCGCAACACCATTTCTTATAAAACCCACTGGCGACTATGAAATGTATGTCAGTCACGCACAACTATCTAACATAAAAAAATGTTCGCAAAAGTAAGTTTATCGTGGTGTAACGTGAAGTGACAGTTAATTGTGATTATGGATAATTAAACATATTTTCATGTGCAGATCTTGGCACTCGGTGCGGTGGCGGCGGTGGCGCAGGCTGGCATAGTGGGACACGGCCACGGATACTCTGTATCGTCACAGCATAATGTAGTGCACCACGATACGCACTACGCAGCCCCCGTAGCTCATGCTGCCCCCATCGTTCACTATGCTCCTGTTGAACACTCCGCTTCAGTATACGCCGCTGCTCCCATTGCTCATGCTGGGTACTCCAGCCATGGACACGAAGACTACTACGTAATTTCTTTTTACTATTTATTTATTATTTTATTTATTTTTTTACGACTTATCTAAAGTAACCGTCTTTACACATAATCAGTACCATAAATATAAAGGTATCCCTAATTCTGGATATTCCTAAGAACTGAAGCAAATTTTTTTTTCTTGATATATTATTAATATTACTTAAATTTAAATTAATATTTTACTTAAAAATCATTATATATATAATTCAATATGCATTATAGTTAATAATGAAGACAATACAATAATTATTTGAATGCCTCTCTCATGGTTCCCGCATACGCTTTTATCTTAATCATAAACACTTAATAGTATTTCCGCAGACAAATGTAAATTCAAGGTAAAGTAAACTGAATTGTCTTTTCTTATGTTTTTACAGTCTCATCCCAAATACCAATACTCGTACTCCGTGGAAGATCCTCACACCGGAGACCACAAGTCCCAACACGAGTCCCGTGACGGTGACGTTGTGAAGGGCGAATACTCTTTACTCCAGCCTGATGGTACCTTCCGCAAAGTCTCCTACTCCGCTGACGACCACAATGGGTAAATTATTTTATACAAATTAGAACAGCAAAAGTTGCTTACGGTCCGTCTTATGGAAAATCGTAATCATCTCCGTCAACACATAGCACACCATGTATATCAAAGGATATAATGAAACTTTCACAGTATCCTTTACGCATTAGCTGAGGTCTAAAGTGTTATGCTTCTACAACTAATAATTATACGACCATATCTCATTCAAATCAAAGCACCGCCATAGAAGCAAATCTGTTTTCGGTAACAGAAATACACATGCGAGATATTCATAAGGACGACTTTTTTCAAAGTTTCCCTCAGGTAAATATTCAGTAAACCTTATATCTATTTAACCATATAATGCAAATCCACTAGATTTTTGTGTAAACATAATTGCATAAATTAGAGAATATTTTACACTAACGCTATTACAAAGATGATGAGACAGCAACTTTCCCCGAATTGCGCAAAACACGTGTTGCCACTCGTGTTTGCTTTTTGACCAAGCTTTGTTTATACGTAACGTAACTTTGAGTCAATGTTTACATAAAATCATATGGTCGACAAACCGGTACGAGGAACTCGTATGAGCAATGACCTCTCCCGACCCTTGTCTGTCAGGTGGCGCTACAATTACGGACTTGTTTTCAAACTAGTTTCCACTTCGTGAACAATTATAATACTCAATGTATTTATTATTTTGTTACAGCTTCAACGCGGTTGTACACAACTCTGGGCCCAGCCACCACGTTTACTCATCTCAGCACCATCATTATTAGACTTGGGAAAGCTTAAGATACTATGTACCTTGACTATTTATTTTTACTGTGATCTACATGTATATAATATAATTAACTCATATTGATAGTCATTAAAAAAGTACAAATATTATAATGTGTAGTATTAAATCTCATTACCCTATACAACGGCACCCTTATTTATATAGTTAATTTCTTCTAACAATATAGTATCAAGGTGTAATAACATAATTATGCACTCTAAAATAATATAGAAATGTATTATGCCCCCTACCGCCACCTACCGGATTCATTTCTTCTTATCAGAATAAAAAAATATACTATTTCTCATGTTGGAAGCAATACACATTAATAAAATTTTATTAAAATCTGTTAAGCAGTTTCGGAGATTAACGTGAACTAACATCGTGACACGAGTTTTATACGTATTAAGATATATCAACGACAGTAGCAAAGTAAGAATATAATGTAGGTATTACCACTCATTCTAATCTCCAGGATGTCGTTAAAGGTAACTAACAGCCATAAATCAATGAAACAGAAGAAATACTCAAGATAAAACACTAAATAACAACCTGAATACCGATATAATAGTTAATATCCTCTTATGTGCAGAGACTCATATCCAACAGTGGTACTTTAATAGATTATTATGGTGCCATTAATAAACTAGTCAAAACTAGTAAAAGTCTAGTAAAAAAGTTAAAAATAATCCTGTTTATTTTAACATATTTTAACAGTACTTACAGTATGCATAAGTATAAGTAGCGGTTTGCAAGAAATTAATACAGCAATTAAATTTTAACTTCACGTCAAACAAATTCAAATAGATAAGTACTTCGAAAACTAGACCGTTTATACTCGTACTATTTCGTTACGAAAGTACGTTTTAATTATTTTAAATATGCATTAGTATGTTGAAAACATTTCAAATGTAAAATATTTATCGCATAACTACAGGTATACAGTCAACAAGAGAAGTTGTTGACTTTAATATACTCTGTTTAAGCATTTTATGCAACATACCTTTTGGTACTTAACTACTTTTATTCTACCCACACTTATTGACAGCCATAACCAGAACGATTAAATGGAAATTACGTTAGCAATCACTTTAATGGGTCTTTTTGATTACTTATCAAGGCGAGAAAATGCAAAATAAAATTTTATTAAACACAGTTTGTTACGTTTATATCTATATTTATGACATCACAAACAATTTGCTATAACATTCATTAATCATTCCTAACTCAACCAATTAAATTATGTTTATCCAAAATTTTATATCTTCCTTATTTATCCTAAAACAAAATAAAATACAATTTTTCAAGACATATATCTCCAAGAATAGATATTTAAAAGTAAGGATGGAATAAAAATTGTCTTTTTTACATAACATCTGTGGTGTATAAAGGAAACCATTAAAATAAGAAATTTAATGTTAACCACACTGAAAAGACAGCACCTAATAAAACCACACAATGTTAACATCTCCTACATAATTATGCCCTCCTACTGTTTTATCAAAAACTTTTGATTCTCTACAAATTGTTTATCTTGTATGGAGATATAGTTAGTAGTTTCATTGTATGTAATAAAAATTTTATCAGGCTTCACATACAAAATTTTGATAATTTAATAATTTCTCTTTGTTTCTATAAGTAGAGTAATAAGTCATGGAAGAAGAAACTTTAAAAAATCAGACAATTGCTTCTGATTACAGTCCTCTAAAATATGGGATAACGAAAACATTTTAATTGTTTCTCATTTCATTTCAATAATTCATGTCATATTTTAACCGACTTTTGACAAGAAGTAGTTATTTATTCGACTATACACTCATGTGTTGCTAGGTTCGGTAGATAAATACTCTAGCATAAGAAGCATCATGGATCCTACACTTATCCAAAATTGTTTAAATGTTTTATAACGAAACTAAATAATTCAATTTATTATCATATAATTTATCTGGTTAGATATATTTAGAATCTTACTCAACCGGCAGCGGTGCATAATATCGGGCAGAGAATGTAATGTTGTATAATTTCCCTGTTCCCTTAACTTACATACTAACGCCCTTGTCGATAAAATTACTGGTTTCACCCACTGTAACAAACTGATGTCATAAGTAACGGGTTCTGTAAACTCCGTCATAGCCTACCAATATATTTATTTTCACTTTTATCAAGTATTGGTATAAAATAGAAATAAATAAACTCACAACTGAATACCTCGAATACCTTAAAGTTTAAAGACGAAGATATTTGACCAGTGCGTGTTGCAGTGATAACTTATGGAACTGAAACATGGTCCTACACGGTTCCCCGTATGCAAAAGCTTCAAATTGCTCGAGTTGCTTTGCGTGATATAATTCGAAACAAAAATATACGCACAAGAATCAAACTTGCCGACATAGCCCGAAAGATAAGCAAGCTAAAGTGGCAAGGAGCTAAGTGGCTGGCGAAAACCCATGGTAAAGAAAGATTCTTGAGTGGGAGCCCCGAATAGGCAAACGCAGTGTAGGATTACCTCCCCTCCCACCCCACTTGATGGAGTGACCACCTCTAATACATTACAAGAGTCAACGGATGCAGGTGGCTCAGGACCGTTCTTTATGGCAGTCTATAGGGAGAGGCCTATATTCAGCAGTAGATGGATAATAACTGAAATAATAATAATGACGATAATGCTCATAACTATAATCAGTATATATCAGTAATAGTCATGGCATTTATCCCAAATATTCCAATAGAAGAATATTTTTTTAGAACGTAAAATTTAATATGCACACATTTCAACGAGCATTTTAGAATCCAACATAATATTGGAGATTAAGACATAAGTTATTGGAGTATCGTAAATTATTATTCTGATGTTGAAACTGACACAAACTATTTGATCGAGATTCTCATTACCTTCTTCAATCTGTTAGGCTTGTTAGACAGAGAATAATGCATACATTTTAATCTGTGTCTATTATTTATTTTAATCGCATGTCTCTATTTTACTAGTAATGTTTAAATTGTTCAATTAATGTTGAAAGTACAAGTATTTTAATACATAAACTAGCAATCAATTAATAAGTTTTTGTAACAACAGCTACATAGTTTTGCGTGTATGTATATTGTGCATTAGATACTGATTATAATCGTGCATGATTAAAATGTATACCTATTATTAGCCTCAAAAATAATTTCCCTTCACACCAATAATTATTCTGAATATTGACTTATCCGCCTTCAATTTTGTAACTAGTAAATTGGAAATCCAGAATATACTTAATCTTGCTGTTACACTACGATAGTTTATTTATAAAGTAGTTAGTTCCCTGTTAGAAGTGCAGCAATATTACTATATTAGGAAGTTTTGCTTATATTAATTACATCAAATTGATCTTTATAATTTGAATTAATTAATCACATTTATGAAACAAAACTTTAATAAATTTAAACCTTATTAGTTAAAATTTTATATCAGAATATTATTCTGTTTTTAATGTCACAATTTTAGCGTACTTTTTTTTTGTTTATTCAATTGTGAATGCACTTCACAATGAATGGATTCATAACTGTGAACATTTCATTGATTACTTGTTTCTTTGCTAGCAAAATGTAGCTAGTTACTACTCTTATAAAAAAGTACTATTTTTGTATTAATAAAGGCTTTTGTTGTATAGTTTTCTAATCTTTATTTATCTTATAGTATCTATAATACTGATATAGGCGCATATGTAAATGTGAGCTGTTTTACATAAAGAAGCTCATAATACAAATGTCATATGTTTACACAGTAAATCAAATAATATGTGGAAAACAAAATATTTTGTCAAGGTCTTTCATAAACATTTTTCCCTATAAAAATTACTGACATAAAGATAAAACACTTATGATAAGTCCAGCCTAATAATAATAATAGTAATTTATACTTACACTTTAAAACATTTTAATTATTAAAATATGTAAATGTATATGTGGATGTAGATAAATGAAGCAAATACTACCTACTGCTCCACATATTTATGTAAAAACTCTGACCTTATCCATATCACAGGCGATCTATGATTTAATTACAAGATAGTTCAGTCGAAATATTGTTATTCAAGACTTAGGTGCTGTCAACAAAAGCCTTTGATTAATATTAATAGTTATCAAGTCACGGTCGCATTGGGTGAGTGACCTCTGAACTATTGTGTAGAGTTACACTTTACAATCAATTCTGGAGGTTTGCTTGCGGGTAGCCTTGCAATAATAAAGTTAATATTTCGTGATCAATACGAGTATTAACTAGATCTCCTTCCGTTGCGTTTTAATACAAATAATTTAAGAATTTGTTCTGCAAAAATAACCGAGTTCCGTTAAAAAAATTAATATTAAACTTGTATTATAACCTTCGCTTCTGACTAAAAAAGTTATTGTGAATATTCACACAAAAATAAATATATAAAATACAATCTTACGAAAAACAAATCGTTTTTAGCATATAACTGTCCACTACCAAGTAAATAAAATTAACACCGGATCTAGAAGCTTGCGGTAGGCGTGCAATCTTAAAATTCCATATTATTTTCTGTAACAATTAAAACGGTTAACTACAATGATCGTGTCCAATCAAAGCACTTTAATATGCAAATATGACACAGTTACCATTTTGAATTTATTAATATGTAACGAAAGCGTGCTTCAAAGGGATAATAGGTATTCGAAAATATATCGATGTATAATTATACCGTTCCGATTGTAGGACCACTGCTTCGGGCATTTTTGTACTATATTTAAAAACAATGAAATTCGTTCATGCATTAAGTTACCTACTTGATTGCAACAGTTAATTTATGATATCAACTCCTGGTGATCGCGTTACTAACAACGGTTGGGAAATTAAATACCTGGCAGGGGCATAGGTATACTAGAAACCACTGTGTGGTTTAACATATATTTGATATCGTTGTTGCAATCACTCAGTACGATTGACATTTCGGCGCCCCGCGTATCAGCTGGCGCATGCAATTTGTTAAAGTATTGATAGATCTGTTCTGTACAATAAGAATTATGGCAAAAAACATGTACATAGACACAGTAAACGTACAACAATTTTATCTGTTCATTTTAGGTATAGACTATTTGAAATCTTTTTATTCAAACAAAATAACATAAATAAATTTCTCAGTTTATCAAAAAAAGTACGTATAAAACAAAATTCAATAACAAAAAAAAACATTCAAAAATTAATTAAATTTATATTACAAAGTATTGAATGTTTATTAAGTACTTTTCTCATAAATATTCAATTAAATGTTATTCGTTTCTCTGATACTAATTACTGGTATACAAAATATTAACAAGTTCTGGCATTTCAATGTCAGTATTTGTTGATACTTTATTGGCCTTATTGACTAATGATATAGTTACCATTGATAACATAATAGGTATTTTGATTGAAATTAATATATCTAAATAATTCTACTAATAGTTTTTTACACAATTAACTGCGACTATGCTAACAATATTGAAAACTGTACCATCACGTACATATGTTTGCACGAAAATATATTGCTGTGGCCACCTACTTATATGAGTAACATCAACCTCTAAGTTAATTGTAGTGATATAAATGACACTTTATTGATATTTCGGTTTTAATAATATATCTATGCCTATAATCGTTGTTATATCCTCTATTGGGAGCACGCCGATGGTATTACATAGTATACGCAATACATACGAGTACACAACAAGCCAATTTTAAAATACGATATTACTAGCACTTGTGTTTGCATGGCTGTGTTTCGATTTGAAAAGTGGGATATGGCGTGAATTTACAAGGTACAGAGGAATAACACCTGAGTCCTCAGGAATGGCAACGCATAAAGGAGTATCATGGGCGAAATAGTATACTCTATTATGTCCATGGTACTGCTAATGTCTACGGTACTGGTTAAGGCGACGGTTACCACTTTCCATCAGGTGGGCTGTCAGCTTGTTTGCCATCTTTGTTTACAAAAAAAAACAAAGTATCGGCCAACAAAAAGCTTAAACAAAATATTTGATAATAAATACTTAATTGTATTAAAACATTTCAAATATATGACTTATATATACTTAACTATAGCTGCATTTCGCTTCGTTTTATATTTCTATATAAAAAGAATTTTCTAAATCGGTTTACTGATGACTGACTGAAAAATACAACCCAATTGAAAATCTTTATTGAAAAGTTTTATTGATGGTTCGAAGTTTTATGAGATTATATTTAGTTTTTCTTTTTTATAATGTAATATTGTAGTAACACTCTATTTGGCTCAAGAAAGTTATATTTTTAACAACTACCTGTGTTTATATCTGATTTTTTAATACCTTTTAGTAATACACTGTAATAAATAAAATCGAATTCTACCAGTGAAACTAAATAGTTGTTACAAAGTTCTTTTTTTTATGGATGATAATGGAATGATAATCCCGCCATTAACTGGAATGGAAAGGCAGGTCAGTTAGCTCATCGCGATGAATATACCTGGAATACAGCACGATGGTTTGCAAAGAGAACTATGTGGAGATTGAGCTGATAGGATATATTGCTAGCAATGGGACTGGTATTTCGCATTACTAACGATTTCTTCCCTCTGGAACAAGGAGTTATAAACAACAAACATTTTTTAATTTTACGTACGCTTAACTACTTCGATTTCATTCTGCATAATTATTTATGTTCCCAGGCATTTCAATCAAGATTAGTATATACTCTATATGCTATATTTCTATGGTATCGATAGTAATCATGATAGGTCAAGTGTCATATACTCATATAGTACAGAGATTCATGTTAGCTCTAAACCGCCATTTTGTTGAAGTTTACTATTTTTAAACTCATAGATATTACGTGATTTAAGCCTAAATACATACATACAATATACGGGTTTACAAAAGAGTATGAACTCATTTGTTAACTTACGTGTGTCAAAAATGGCTCAAATAAAGTGTTTATCTATCAATTTTTTTAAACAAACAAATTACTAAACTTCTTTTTTAAAAGGTTGAGAAAATAAACCAGAAAATATATTTCATAGACAACTTTAAACATTAAAACCAGGATATCAATTTTGTAAATGACCGTGTACTAAAGATAATTCAAATGATAGTGAAAATTATTAGACCAATCACGATCACTGTATAAACAAAAAAATATCGTTTATCCATGTTACTCACGCAACATCGATCTTTGAGATAGCAATTATGGTAGGTAGGTACCTAGTTAGCTGGAGGGCGCGCGAACGGGAGACTGTTGCCGTTGGTGAACTATTATTGTCCGAGTATGCGGCACGCGGCGCGACCTCGCGGTGTCAAAGTTGCGGAACTGCGGTGACCGCATGCCCCACCACTGCCAGGACTAACTCCGTTTTACTTTTCATATAAAAGTCACACTACAGTTCGATAATAGTATCAGTCACCTGCTCTGATTAACTAGTTCAAAATGTTCACTAAAGTAAGTTTAAATATTGGTTATGAAAAAATGAATATTAAATAATAAAAATATTTTAAAAGGGCTGTTGTATTTAAAATACGCGGATACAGGTTTTCCAAAGTGATTTAATTTTAATTCATGTGTTTATAATCACACAAGTCGATCGTTGTTAAAAGTGTTTGTATTAATTTTTTATTCAGTCAATTAGACAGTGAATAAAAATTTTACCTAAATTTCAGGTGTTCACCCTCGGCGCCATCTTGGCTACCGTAAACGCTGGCTTACTACCAGCGCATCACGCTGCGGTCTCCTCGCAAAGCATTGTCCGCCACGATGCTCCAGTGCATTATGCCGCCCCGGCACACTACGCTGCACCTTTCGTCCACGCCGCCCCTGTAGTTCATGCTGCCCCCGTTGTTCACGCTGCCCCCGTTGTTCACGCTGCCGCTTATGCTCATGGTCATGAATACGTAAGTATTAATTTTTACTCAATAATACCATAACACAAAATTCCTTAATTTACATGAATATTTTCCATTATATTGTTGTACTTCAGGTTATGTGATAATATAATTAAACTTTCTTTTTGGTTCCAGGCACACCCCAAATACGACTATGCTTACTCCGTAGCCGACCCCCATACTGGTGACCACAAGAGCCAACATGAGAGCCGTGACGGTGGTGCTGTACATGGTAGCTACTCCCTGGTCGAGCCTGACGGTTCAGTCCGCAAAGTAGAATACACCGCCGATGACCACCACGGGTAAGTTTTCTCAACATATTTAATATTTAAATAATAACCACGTTACTGGAATACGCTGTAAGACGGCGATAAAAACTAGCATAACTCCTTCTTGGTCCCGAATACTATCATATTACCATATAGTATACCAAATTTCATATCACTAATTGAGCCGTTTATGTCGAGAAGTAACAAACAAACACTCACTTACACATTTACAATATTAGTAAGAATGTTTGTTTAAAATATGTTCATTGTCAAAAAATATAGGTAAAAAAGAATACATACTCTTCACAGAATCACAAACCCTTTTATTTAATAATTAAAATGTATAATACCAGTAGAATAAACATATATATAAATAAACTTTTATTATTGTTTCATATCAATAACACATACCATCTGATTTTTCAGCTTCAACGCTGTAGTCCACAAGACTCCCGGACATCACCCCGCCCCCGTCGTTCACGCCGCCCCCGTCGTCCACGCCGCCCCCGTCGTTCATGCTGCCCCATTTGCTTACGGTCATGGGCATCATGGTTACTTCGGGCATTATTAAACAACGACTAGCTTATAATGTGTTCATTTGATGATGGATGACTGATGATTGTGATATTTATATGTAAATAATGATGATGATGAATATGATTTTATACTCGACTGTAAATATACTCAGCTGCTGAAAATATTTGTATTTTATTATTCTAAAAATCTCCTGATATTTCCAAGCATCACTACAAGCCGAAAAAAGTATACTTATCAAAAAATTATTACGCATCAAATTTAGGCAGGCCCCAATTATTTTATTACGTCAAGACCTAAAGTCCTATACTTGAAATAAAAACGATCATAATTTATAACAGAATAATGATTTATAAATAATATAGACGTTTGACTATATTACTAGTTATGTTATATATGTATAAGCTATCTTGAAAACGAAATAAGACTATGTAAAAATACTCTTATTTTGTTTTATTTTTAATAATTTTGCATGTATGTTTACATTTGGGCAATTTTTTTTTTTACAATCGCGGCTTTTTCTTAGATTACCAAATAGGTTTTCTTTATTGTTATACCTTTCATAATACTATGAACATATGGCAAAAAATACCTTGACTTATCACGTATAAATATAATTTATAAGGTCCTCGAGTAAATTTTAAGTTTATTTGTTTATATTTTCACAATAAATTCCCACAAGCAATTTAATTATAGGGTGCCCTTGAGTTTCAGTACAGCGACTTAAAACAATTAACTACTTAGTAGCTATGCATGGTTGCGTGGGTTACGAATACCAAGGCACTTGTGCATAGCATTCGATGTTTTGACGGTATAATTACGGTACATTGTATGGAGTATTACAAAATGTTACTACTCATATAGTAATACTACTGTGCGACGACCTAGAAAACCTCACAATTAAAGATTGCATCTCTATTACAGTAATCAGTGAATGAATTTGTATATTACTTATACAGTAACATTTTATAGACATGATCTGTTATAGGTTGGTTATCTGTTTGAAATTAAAAATTTATTACCTTTTACAAAACCGGTCCATAAATTCACCACGTCAATTTAAAATAAACTTTTGGCTTATATAAATTTTATAAGCTAATCTACTAAAGAAATGACAAAACACGGTAGTTTATGTAATATTTTGTAAATTTTAGTACTTACTAGTTTTACTCGTGACTCATCCGCGTGACCGAGATATGTTTATTGACCGGGATTAAAACTATGTTCTTCATCATCCCATGTACATAGAACCTGTGTACCAAATTTTATAGTGATTAGTTAAACAGTTGAGACCGCTAAAAGGTAAAAAAAAAAAAAACAAACTAATTTTTACGTTTATAATGCTAATAAGGATTATAACCATTGAGATTGCAACCAATACAGTGGCATAGAAAGTCTTAAGTGGGAATCAATAGTGCAATAAAGTATTGAAACAATATACACACTAATAGATCAATAATTAAATTGTATTGTATTATTTGTCTTGTATTAATATTCAATAGAATAATAAAATAAAATCATTGTTAATGTGCAATTTCACGAGATAAATGCAATAAGATATAGTAAACATTCCAGACTTTGTGAATTCCATCCAAAAACATATAAAGAGATCAGTACCTATATATTATTTAAAAGAATAAGTGCTCTAATAAAAGTTACATGTTGGAGTAATAAAAAAATATATACGTACTAAAATAATATTATATACGTAAATAAACCTAAAAATAATACATATATAAATATTAAATGTATACAAATTCAATATATTAATAATATATAATATATTAATACAGACGAAATTTTAACCAACATTAGATTATAATACTCGTATGAGAGTGAGACAGAAGTGTGAATATTTAGCATACATACGAGTATGTATGCTAAATATTCACACTTCTGCAGCGCATTAAATAAAATAATTAAATTAATTAGCAAATCGGTGATCTTCGTTTAAAATATGTATAAAATTATTTTCTAAACCAACTAAATAAAATAAAAAATACTCACAGTTTTTTTTTATTTTTAATGGATGATAATGGAATAGTATCCCCACCTGCTATCGGTATATACTAGTGGGGCACAAGTGAGCGATGATAGGTGATGATGAAGCAAGCCAGTTCGCCCATCGTGATGAATTTAAAAAGAATTAATCACGATGGTTTCCGGATGATGAGGGAACCGTGTGGAGGTCGACCTGACAGGGTATATTGCTAGCAATGAGATTGCTGATTCTCATTACTAACAGTCCTTTCCCCCCCTCCCCCTGTCAGAGGGTAAGCGGCTTGTTAAACCGTTACACCACCACGTAAACTTTACGGTATCAATAGCTAAATCAAACATAGTAGGTACGTGTACCATTTATTAAAAGGAATGCTTGACCTACGCCAAAGCGGATATAATTTTGTTGCTACTTATTAACACTTCCGCAAAACATGTACAAGTATCAGTTTGTACAATAAACAACGTCAATTTAAACGCAATCACAGTAATGACGTCAAATTACATGGAAACAAATAGGGCCCCACCATTATGTGTAAATCTCGCCCATATTGGTACAATCAACATATGCAGTTGTATTTCCAAATCAAAACAGTAGAAACAATCAGTCATAACAACATTATCACAATAAAACATGTCAATTTATATATATTATATCAATTAATAATAAACTATGCAAGAAGACGTATTCGTATTGTGAAACCATCAGTATTATGCTGTTTTATAATCTGCCACGAAGAGAAAAACGGTTGAGCCTGTTAAAGTAATAACATCTTAGTTATTACTCGTATGACTTTATTTATATTTTTGTCATAATATAGTATTTTTGTACAAACTTTTATGCATATATACATATGTGTATTATGTGTATATATATATATATATATACGTATATTTTATAAAAAAAAACCTGATGTACTGGATATATCAAGTTTTTTCTAACAAGCAGTTCGGATCTGATTATTTCCTGTACCATTAAAATAGGAGACTCTCGTCTCTCCATCGCGTTTGATTTTATAGATATAAAATTTACTTTGTCCGATTTATGTCTCAACTATCATTAATTTTAATCAAACAAGATTATGATATTATAATAACTATGAAATTAATATTTGTGATACACCCACATTGAGAGTGTTGAGGTCACGAATGTTTATTTTATTCACAATTAAACAAAAGTAGCTTACTCAAAAATTATATATAACACAAAATACTAGAATAACAAAATATAAAAGAAGCAAGTTTTTCTCAATTAATTAGATAACTCTTTAATCTACAATCAACTCTCGCATGAATTTATTTTTATTTTTATATTAAAATTAAGTTCTAAAATTTTCTATTTTATTTTGGTCTGTCAATCAAAAATATTTTTAATTATATTTGATGCAAAATAAAGTATTGAAAAAACTTGATGTTGATATATTTTAAATAATATCTTACTATCTTACTACTTCGTTCAAGCAAAGTTGAAATTTCAAAACTGTGATTTTTGACTCCATTAGAAGAATGTGGGGCGGAATTTGACCGAGTCTCGAGTCAGATTATAACAAGTAGTAATTACCGACCTTGGTCTCATGAGATAATATCTCAAACAGCCCGTAACGCATACACACTAACACTTTGATCGTCTCCTCTATTATTATGGCTCTTTTAAAGTCAATTCTGTGTAATATAGTTTTTATCAAATATTATTTTTATACAATATTTGTATAGTTCTTACAAAATACTGTTTTAATACTATTTATAAGTATAATACTTATACTTAATTGAGCTAGTTGCACTCGCACCATAAGGTGGGTACCGTGAAGTGGGCAACGGCTTACACCTTCCCTTCCCCTCCTCAATACGCCAATGTCTGTGCTCATTTTAGTATAAGAAATCTTGTAAAAGATATATTTTTTTAATACTTAGAATGGCAAACAAGCTGACGGCCCATCTGATGGAAAGTAGTAACCGTCGCCTATAGACATGAGCAGTATCATGGACATAACAGAGTATACTGTTTTGCCCATGATACCCCCATGCGTTGCCATTCCTGAGGACTCAGGTGTTATTCCTCTGTACCCAGTAATTTCACGCTATATCCCACCCTTCAAACCGAAACACAGCCATGCAAACACAACTGCTTCACGGTTGAAACACGAATGGGACAGAGGTACCCAAACAATCGACTTTTGTACAAAGTCTCCCTCTGGTATAAATATAATATATTTATAGCACACGGAGTAACGTCATACATATCATTACCTCAAGACTCCAAAAGGGTTGAATAGTCCAGTGGCTGATACATTCATAAATTCACTGAGCATTATAAATAAATATTAATTACTAGAGTTGTGTATGGCCAAGCCCTTAGCCTGCAATCGTGCTGGAGGGCTTTGTACTACGACAACGATTTTAGTTCATTCATGTCATTGCTCGATCGATTGTTGAATTGTCTGCGTTCTGTAAGCTTGATGTTGTAACCGCAAATGTAAAAGCTTTGTCCACTGTTTAAGAGCAAGGATATGATATTTATTATTAGTCCCCATTAACCTTATTACTTATAAAATTTATTGTAAATACTCGTTCATTAAATTTTTTTTTTATTTAATATTAAATCGATACAAAAATATTCAATGCCCTAATTAGTGCCTGAATAAATTTGTATGAATACGCGTAAGTTTCAAAAACCTTCGCAGATTTTTTGCGGTTAGATATAAAACGAGTAATATGTAATTTACGTTCTTGAACATAAGTATAAAAAATATAAATCATTGAAACTTGATTTAATAATATCTTTGGTAGGTATTTGTTTCAGTAGGTACGAGTATTATATGCTCAACGTTATTGACCTCTTAATATTCAGATAAGTCACTGAGAATAGAACCTTAATTTATATATGGTTTTCCTTTAAAAAATATGCATAAATATACTAAGAAAGAATTTACCGGAATTTCCACAGATATGGAAAATCAGAGTCTGTGCGAGCGTAAGTGCTAAGCAGGGGGGAGGGATTGTTAGTAATGTGGATTATCAGTCCCATTACTAACAATGGGTATATTGTATGGGTATATATATAATATAACAGGTCAACCTCCCCATGGTCGGAAACCATCGTGTTGTATTCCAAGCTTCTTCATCACTTCGAACTAACTAACCTGCCTTTTCATCCTCATCTCTCATC